ACGGATAATTTGTGAAGTAAGCAGAATGGCACAAAACAAGTGATGGGGGTAGGAAAATCATTCATTTAATTTCCAAACAAGGCATTGCAATGCTAAAGGGTAAAACTATGATCCCCAACACTTTACTAATTGTGTGGGATGTCCATGGAATCCCAGAGTTAGAAGACACCACAAGGGCTGTCCAGTCTACCCCCCCCCCCAACCTGGTAGGAACACACAATCGAAGCACCCTGGGCAGATAGCCATCCAGCCTCTGCTTAAAAATCTCCAGAGAAAGACTCCACTACACTCCAAGACAGCATAATCCACTGCCAAACAGCTCTTACCATCAGGAGGTTCTTCCTACTGTTTAGGTGGAATCTCTTTTCGTGCAGTTAGTAACTATTGGTCATGCCTTTTCCTCAGTGTGACATCCTTTCAAATATTTAAACTCTACTGAAATTAAGGACTTCTGCCCTAAGCGTATATCTATGCTGGAGGCGCTAAAATGCCTAAGGAGGATATAAATTGTTGTGCATGGATAAATTTATTTATTTTATTTATCGTGTTAGTATCAACCAGACAATAAATAAATAAATAAATGGATAAATGAAATTGCAGATATGGAAGCAGTGTGTTTGTGTGTGTGTGTGTTGGGGGGGGGGTTAAAAATGAACTAGCAGTCATGTGTATGTGAGCATATGTATGTATGTAGATCTATTTGATTTAGAGCTTGGGAAACTGAATTTCCAATCAAAGAAATATTTTCTTTTTTGTATTAGATTTGGTGTTTATTATTTTAATAACACACTCAGCAATTATGATTGATGTGTCATATATCATGACATCATCAGACCTCACTCTCTGTCACATTACCTGAAGAAGAAGACTCCAGTTCTCAAGTTTTGGTCCTGAAATCTCAGGGCCTAAAATTCTCCAGATGCTCCTGACTTGGCAACCCTAATCACAGTTCTACTGGATAGTCAGTACTGTGTATACAAAATGGGAGATGATGATGATATTCCTTTACATCCCACTTTCCCCCAAAACTGGGTCTTGAGATGGCTTGCATATTGTTAAAATCAATACAGATTTAAAAATACAAAACAGTCAGTAAAGAGATGTGTATATGTCTTTGTGTGAATGCACATGTGTTTCTGTGTTTGCCTGATATATAAGCTTAAGCTAAAACATTCTTAGTTCAATCAATGCAAAGTATGGATTCCTTTCACCTCATAGCACTTCTGGGATGATTTTTATATCTCTTCTATGCAGGTTTTGGTCTGCACAATTATCCACCTTGAAAATAAAGGAGGAAGGAGAATGTTTTTAAAAAGAAATCTGGACATTAACCAAATTGAGTTACACTTTCTTCAACCTCTGGCATTTCTAGTCCAGACTCATAATGTCACTTGGCTAATCTAAATACAATGCATCCTCCATGCCCTGGTTTGTGCACTGCTTGGGTTTTGTTTTCAGAGCAGCCTGCAGACTCTGACACAGTGGTTTTGCAGCAGAGCAGAAAAGCACATGATCTCCATAAGGCAGCTCTTTCCATCTGCAAAGCATCCTCATTAGCTCAGCCAGCACAGCTACTGTGTTCACCTAATGCTGCAGCTGCTGTCAGAATCTTTAGGGAATGAGGTGCCAAAAGACATAGAAAATGCTAATTACTCCCTCAAACCGTGTAGAACTTTTAATGCTCTGTAAACCCATCTGTCCTTATACCAACCCTCTAATTTCACCCTGTACTACATCTCGTCCACTCTCAATCTGCCTTGACGAAATTAACACAACTTTGTGTACTGATAAAGTCTTCTTCCTTGTACATTAGAACCTCAATTGTGTTTTTCCCTTAAGAAAAAGGAGGGGCATAACAGTCTTCAAGTAAACAGGTATACTTGCTTTCATACATAAGTTCCCATGTCCAACTTAATTGCTAAAGAGACATAAATCCCCCCAGAATTCTTTGATAGTGCATATGACTTTGCTGGGATATAAAGCCCCATGCCCTGCTTCTGAAGCATCCACAACCATTAGCTTACATGTACATGTATCATGAAAATGAGATACTTCATGAGACCAAGACTCAGTTCTCACTGAGAACTTGATTAAATGATGAAGAGGTGCATAAGTAATACCAACGGCAAATTAGTTATGACAGTTAAAAAGAACCTCTAATGCAGAAGGATGGCTCATGGACTAAACTGGGGTTGTGGGTGTGCCTATGTAGGACTACTATCATAATTTCAAACTGAATTACTCCTTCCTCTTGGTTCAACCCATAAGCTATCATGCATACAGGGGAAATTCATCTAAATACTTGTGGCTTGGAGCATGCAATGGGTTTGGCAATTACTTTCACACCTTGTTTATCCACTTCTTTAGCTGGCATCTGGTGAGTCTTGTGTCAAAAATTGGGAACTGGTGGCCCTACAGTGTGTTCGCCCACTCATCAATAGGAGCACCTACTACTGACCTTGGCCACTGATCAGAAATGATTGAATCAGGAGTCTTTATTTGGCCACAGAATAGTGGATTGCATAGATCTCTTTCATTGAATAACAACAACAACAACAACAACAACAACAAATTTATATTAATATCACACCACCATCTCCCCGAAGGGACTTGGTGTGGCTTACAAGCAGGACCAAGCCCAATAACAACAAAGTAAGACAAGTAAAAACACATTAAAATACAATAAACATATGACAATCTAATTACACAATTAAAACAGCAAAATATAAAGACAAGACATCATTAGAATAAATCAAAGCCAATCTCAATAACCAGAACCAGGACTATAGTGGGCAGATCAAAATAAGAGAGGGCTGGGCATGGGCTTGTACAAAAACAGATTACAGGGCCAGGGCTAGGACGAAGTGCTGAAACCATTCTTGAACAGCAATTGTATATTCATTAGTTAGAGTCTAAGTCCCACTGAGTTCAATAGAGCTTACTTCTGATTATGGAACTGCATCATATTTATTAGATAAAATGTATAATATAACTGTCTTGTAATGCATCCACTCCTACTGCTAAAGATATATAAAACTTCAAAGTTTGCCTTTGTGCCTGTTAAGTAGTAGCATATATTCCAGTAAATGCTACCAACTTGTTACCTTGTTTATATCCCACCTTTTACTTTGAGCCATGCTTATTTCTAGTAATTTTCAAAAGGGAATTGAAATACATATTTGTTATCTCATGGGAAGTTCTCTTAGTAAAGTAAATCAGCAAAAAGAAAAAAAAGAAAAGAAATCAGTTCTTCATTGTATCATTTGACATATGTAGTAGGTACATTATTCATTTCAAGTGTAAGTTCCAGAAAGACAGGATATCTACAAATATAATACAAGAGTTGATAAGACAAAAACAAGATCCATTTATGGGCACCCTCTAATCTATTAATTAATTCATGCTGTCAAGCCATATTATAAAGGTATTTGTTGTTAGGAGAGGCTAGCAACCTCATTACATTTACCTTTGAAAGTGTCCCGGGAACCTTCGCCTGGGTCATATGATAAAGTCCTAGCTTAAGAAATATTGCCAAGAGTTCGTATCTGAAGCCTAATGAGAACTTTTCATGTAAATACAAAACTGAACTCTAATACAGGCTGAACATCCTTTATCCAAAATTACAAAATCCCAAATACTCCAAAATAGAAAATTGTCTACATGGCTGGTAGAGCTAGTGTCCCTTTGCTTTCTGATGGTTCAGTGTACCCAAACTGTCATAGTTCAATGGACAAAATTATTTAAATTGTATGTATAACATTACTGTAATCATATGCATGTAACTATGCTCCTTGCAGCAATGCTGGCCACATGACTTTGGAGGTGTCTACAGACAACACCGGCTCTTCGGCTTAGAAATGGCAATGAGCTCCAACCCCTCAGAGTTGAACACAACTGGGGAAAACCTTTACTTTTACTATGCATATAACGTATACATAATATAAATGCATCTGTGTTTAGACTGTCCCATTTCTAAGATATCGTGTTATGCACGCATATGCAAATATAGTATTTCAATTTTTTAAATCCAAAATCACAAGCATTTCCCAGGCATTTTGAATAAGATATACTCAACCTGTACTAACAAAAATTGAGAAATTTATCTAAAACAAAAAAGTTCTATTTTCTTTACTAGAAGGAACTGCAGCCACAAAATTGAGTTTTGTATTTATATATATATATATATATATATATATATATATATATACACAATTATATATATATATCTCAATTCATTCTGAGCACGGCAGCAGGGACCATGCAGAGATGACAATTAATGGCACTGTCTGGAATTTGAACAGTGTATATAGATTAAGTGTCGTATATTTGTTATGCTCTTTCTCATTTAGCCAACAATGAATATGTCTCTTGGCTGCCTACGCTGGCAATAATTGTTCCACAAATATCTCCTATACCTTTATTTAAGCTAACCATTAGAAGAGAGGATGAGAAATGTAGTGTGGCATTCATTGTATTCAGGAAGGCTCTACCTTTCTCTTACAGATTTACCCTTGGCAAATCAGTCCTAATTCATTATACCTTGATTATTCCAGGCCAGACACTCAGGGATATAAAAAAGATGCAAAGAATGTTCTCATGGGTGTTGGCAACAAGCCCACTATAATTTCTGCAAATGACATTATGAAAATGTCTAGTATGTGTTTCACGTCATATATTATGAGTTATACCCCACAATGCATGGGAAGCATTGTGAGAAACAAATGAATACATCTGTTCTGAAGCAACCATGTTATATGCACAACCTTGATGTACACCTCATGGTGATCAATCTGAATACCCACCTCATGGATGCTTAACATCATAACACTTTCAGTACAAGTACATGCTGTTAGCTACTAGTAGAAGCTACCATGGCATGTTTTGACCATTTTCCTCCTTTTTAACTTGACTGTAATATAACATTTTTGGGGCTATTGCACACAATACAAGGGAGTCAACATTTTGCTCTAACCAAACATCTGTCTGGATTCTAGACTTACCCCGCTCACATGTCCTTCCCCAGTATCCAGTCCCAGTGCAGTCACAAATGAAACGGTTCCAGCCATCCTTGCAAACTGCATTGTTCTTACAGGGATAACTGTCACATTGTTTGGAGTTGACTCGAATGCAGGAAGATTTGACACCAGCAGCATTCTGCTGCTCTGCTAGCTGCCGGATGTTCTTGCTCCGCCCATCAATGAAAAGGTCTCTAATGCAGCCTACATAGCCATAGTTCAACATGGCTGTCCAGAGCTCTGTAGGGAGGACAAGTCCTGCCCGGTTTTCAGGCAGTCCTCCAAGATACATGTCTCCTTCCAGATCCAGGATTTCACTCTCCCCACTAGCAGTGAATGGTGTTCGTCTGCTGTTCACTGATATGGTACCTGAAAGAGAGAAATAACTTTAAGCAAGAGCCCTAATAGTAAACCAAATCATGTTTGTGCCTATTTTTAATTCCTGGAGGCCTTAATACAGAATCTTTAGACAAAAGGAGCTTGTCCTGGAGAGCTTTGCTGCCCATTACCAAATTTATTAGACAGCATATTCCCAGAATATTAAAATTTATAGACTGGAAGATTTCTGAAGGACATCTAACCCAGTCCTCTGTAATGATGCAAGAACTTCAGCAATCTATTTTTACACATGGCCCTAGAAATTCCTATATTAACAGTCTGGTTGCCTAGTGTCAGAAAATTTGGAAAACAGAGCAAATGATTTATCTTCAATTACAAAAGATGTGTTGTGTTGTAGTGCACATCAACAAAGAACCTTCCATGATGGTCTGACACAAGCATCATCAACAACCCAAGTAAGGTCAGTTCAGCAGGACTGAATCAGTTTTGGCTCTACTGGACTCTACAACTGCAGAATGAAGAGTAGCCAACCTCAGGGATGGCCCAGAGTATTGTTACCGAAGACAGGTCCAAATTGTAGGTAAAATAAAACCCATCAATATAGGCCAAAATAAGGTGGGGCACATGATGCTCTGAGTCCACCAAGGCCACTTAATAAAGCCTTCTTCTATATTTTAAAGTTGGAGGATGCCTTGGAGCATTCCCGAAGTTCCAGAGTTTGCCCAGACTTTGTGGTAGTGTAAACAGTTGGGTTGGTTAAACAGTTGAGCAGCCATTATGTTCTCTCTGAGCTCAGGCAGCCTGAGGTCAAGCACATACCTCTCCCTTGTGTCCTCAGATTAGTGGTGATTACTGGCACAAAACTGCTAGTAACTGTTGTTTGTAAAATCTACTGTTGCTGACTGGAGCACCAGAGTGGTTGGAGAAGAGAGAGGGGAAAGATGTGGTGGGTCCTCCTTTTGCCCCCCTGAATCACTCTGGTACTTCAGCCACATCAACAGATTATATGAATAACAACCACCAGCAATTCCATGCCTGGTAATCACTGCTAATCCAAGACACAAGGGGGAAAGGAAGAATAGCCATCCAGGGGTGTGAAACTGGGTGTGGTGCCAATGGGCCATGTGGACTCCTTTCAGCAGCTGGGCTGGGTTAGTTCTTACAGTATGGACACACATCAACCACTGAACTAGGAGCCCCTGGTGGCACAGTGGGTTAAACCCCTGTGCTGGCAGGACTAAAGAGCAACAGCTCGCAGGTTCAAATCGTGGAAGAGGCGGATTAGCTCCCTCTACCAGCTCCAGCTCCCCATGTGGGGACATGAGAGAAGCCTCCCACAAGGATGATAAAACATGAAATCATCCGGGCGTCCCCTGGGCAACGTCCTTGCAGACGGCCAATTCTCTCCCACCAGAAGTGACTTGCAGTTTCTCAGGTCGCTGCTCCTGACACGACCAAAAAAACAAAACAAAACCACTGAACTGGTTCGACACCCCTAGCACTGTTCTGGACTACAGCACTATGGATCAGCTGAAAAGTATGTGGTGCATGTAGATGATCTTTAGTCTTTGAAAGCTTATGCTACAACTTCTTTTTCTCAGTGAATCTCAAAGGTGTTACAAGATCCTTTAACATACTGATATTACAGAGTAACACAGTTATGCCTTTGATTTATATCCCACTGAGCTATATGATTTTTTTTTCTATTTCTCATTTTATTCATCATTGTCTAGAGGACAAATATATAGCACATGTGCACACAGAGATGCAAGTAATAATGCTTTTAATTGAATTTATCCTTGCAGGTTAATTACATTTAAGCCAACTTACAAAAATCAATTATTTGATTACTTATTTATATTCTGGTAAAATGCTGCAATTCTGGCAACAGGTGCAAGTGATACAAAACTACTAATATTAACATCTGCAGAGTATGAATCAAAACACAAATTCCTTATAAAACTGGAACCCTCTGAGGCTTATTCTTCTCCCAAAGAAAATCCAAGTAAACTGGGTGAGTCTATATTATTTGTTAAAGGACCATTTTCTTGACAATGTAAAAACATCTGATTCACCAATCCCTCAAGAACTCACCACAAAATTTGTGATAGATTAATGTAATATTATGTACAGCACAGGCAGCCCCCAAGTTACAAACAAGACAGGTTCTTTAGGTTTGCTCTTAAGTTGAATTTGTTATTAAGTCAGAACAGGTACATCTTTGAAATGTAACTAGCTATATATATATATATATATATACGCACACGCACACATACATATAGGCTTTGAATAGCATAGGGAAGGGTGAACACCCCTGTGGTATTTGTTTTGCTGTCTGTGCCCTTGCTCAGAAGATTTCACCTCACTTTTTGTCCCTGTGATCAGGGCCGTAGCCAGAAAAAAAGTTTTGGGAGGAGTTGAAATTTGGGAGGGGGGTTGAAATTTTCGCGGGGGGGGGGTGAAACCTGCCTCCTAGCTCACACTGAATCAAAGAGCACAGCAGGGGGCAGAGCAGCCTTCAGTAGCCTGCAGCTCCACCCCTGTCAACCACCTCCACCAAGTCTGGCCTCCTTAATGAGAGCATTCAACACACACACCCCAACTTGGTTGCTTCACTACATCGGCTATTGCTGCAAGTAATGACAGTGTGAATAAATTGTCAATATTTGCCTGAGATAGTGCTTGCAGTTCTGGAGGGACTCTTAATTTTTTGCATCTCATAGACTTAGCATGGGGATTTGGTTAACCAATTAAAATTCATGAGTAAAACAGGTTTTTTTAAAAAAATCTGAAACATTTCGGGGGGGGGTTGAACCCCTAAAACCACCCCCTCGCTACAGGCCTGCCTGTGATAATTGGATTTTGAAAAATTTCTTTTGTTGTAAAAGCAAAGATTTGTGATAAAGCTTCATTGGAGACATCTTTTCCAGGTGATAATTCTTTCAGGGGTGAATTTCTTTTCCTAGGGGTAGCTATTTCTCACTTCTTGTTGTCTCATCCCCATTCTTAACTATGAGTCATTTGTAAGTCAAATGTTTGTAACCTGGGGACTGCCTGTACTTTCTATTCCTGTAATATGAATCAGACCCCACTGTAAATCTGTAAAAAAAAAAACTTCTGCAGAAGTATGTTTTCCGACTAATAATGGGCAAGTTACAAAACTCGATCAGCCAAGATAGACTTCAATGAAATGATTTCACTTTTCCTCAGGGAACAATAAACTGCTATTTTCAGATCTCATTCAAAAATGTGGTATTCTTATATACTTCTAGGGTATATTCAGAAATATAACACAACTCTGTGTCCTTGTTTCCTTTACAACAGGGTAGGAAATGTGTGGCCTACCACACCAAAACATTCTGTTGATGAAATGATCAATTGTAATGCAATTATTTGCATTTTAGCCACTCCTACTTTTACCAAAGCTACTTTCATCTGGTGATTCAAGAATTTTAAAGTATCTGAGTGCCTGCATAAAGGGAAAATATGTTTCTACTGTGTTAATGAATTCCCCCTCCATACCTGATCTTCCATCTCTCTGAATATCAACATGATACCATTCTCCATCATTAGCTTTTCTCTGAGTGGCCTTCACTTTGACAGTTCCTGAACCCATGTCAAGAAGAAGGTAGAGATTTCCATCTAAGAGTTCCACTGCAAAGAAGTCCACTTTGGTGTTCTTCTGACTTCTGGAATCCTTCCTCTCCTGCGGTTTCCCATGAGTGAAGAGAATAAGACCATTGGGTTCTGTGGTACGGAAGTCAAAGGAAATGGAACCCATCCGCTTAGTGTTCCATTTGGGGAGACTAATGTAAGCTTCAGGTGTCTCAAAGTTGATGGGGTCGAGCGTGGCCACATTCTCACATGTAAACTTCACCTCTCCATAGATTTTCATTTTTGTGTCTCCAATCCTTGCCAAGCGAGACAGCTCCAGACGGATGTCATTATTCTTATAAACAACCTGTCAGTGACAGAGGAAAACACGACACATCAACTGTTAGAAATACACATACTACAGAAAGAAGAACCCAATGAAGCTCTTGGGATTAGGCTCTATACGGAGCTCTAGATTCCAACTATTTCAATAATTTGTATTCTTTAACAACATGAGAGCACTACAAAAATAGAACAGAATATTTGGTGATATCCATAAATAAAAGGTCAACTTCACATCAGAGATCGACAAGATTAGGAGGAATTTTCAGAGAAATCCAAATACAGTACATTCCTTGCATCCATATGGGAATATATTCCTGCACTATCAAGGAAAAAGAAAATTGTGAATAATAGGGAATCCTATTGAAATGAGCAATTTCAACTGTGAGTTATTATAGAGTCATGCTAGATGAACTAGAAATGCTTTTCCACAAACAACTTCATTACTTTGCTTAAATTGGGGATGGGCAGTGCAGCCTGCATGCAGACCCATGACCCCACTTTTGTGGCCCCTGAGGATCTCACTAGTGCTTTAAAGCACACCAAAATTTTTCTTTTGTTTTCAGCAGAATATGTGAACGTTTTTGCCTGAAAACAATACAGACATTTCCCCAAAGCATGAAAACAGATACAAACATTGTTCCCCCACGCACACATCTTCCAATAAACCCCTATTCTCCCCAAATACCTCTACTTTCCTCTGTTGTTCATCCCAAAATAGTGAATAGATGTGACATGAGATCATTTCCAGTCACCATTTTGAAAGCACTGCTATCAAGTCAACATTATCTCCTGGTGACCTCATCAATTAGAGACTTCAAAGTCATGCTTTCATCAACAGTCCTACTCAAGCAGCCCATGGCTTCCTTGATTTAGCTTATTCATCTGTAATGTGATCCTTTTTACTACTGCTTTCTACCTTAGCAAACATCATTATCTTTTCTAGTAAGCTACTTCTTCCCATGAAATGTCCACAGTATAACAGTCTCAGTTTATTTATCTTGGCCTCCACAGAGGAAAATTGAAGTATTTGGACTTGATATGGTGAAGGCTGTGACCTGCAAAGGAAATGTGACCTTGCACCTCATGCAGTTGCCTGCCCTGGCTTAGGACCGTAAAGAAACAAGTTGTATATTGATAGACAAAATGGCAACAAATATCTATGGCTAAATTTTATGTTAATTGTTTCCAATCAACATTCCCAGTGTACTTTCAGAATCTAAAATAAAGGAGAAAGTTTTTGAAATCATATAAAATTTAAACCCCTGACCATATAACAGTCATTTTTTTTAGGATACAGAGAATAACACAGTAAAAAAAACTAGTATGCAGAAGTGTCTTTGGATCACTCATCTACAGTGATAAGTCTCTGACTATATCATAGTGTTTAATTGAACTATTCCTTCAAGGACCTAGTGAACAAAGCAGTTGGATTTGGTTGGTTGGTTGGCTGGCTGACACTGCCAGACCAAGCACGTACAATGAGCTCATTGCCCTCTTTTTAAAAAAATCAAAGCTCTTACTATAAGTCTTAACTGGACCTTTCTATGCCCTAATGGCTCCAATTCAATTACTCATTCTAATAGCAAAGTCAGCTGATGAACCCTGATGGGATTTTAGCCAAAACATGTCACTGAGAAACAAGAAAGGCACAATAAAGCTTGCAAAAATACTCTTGACATACTAGAGAAGTTGAATTTTGTAAATGTCATTCTCATAGATGAGAACAAATAATGTAACATTTTTCCTCCCTGTTATAAGAAACACCTTGAAAGCAAAATTCATAGTTCTGGATTTATTCTAAGAATTATCTATATTTCGGTTCAGAAAACTTTATTTTCTGCACAAAAAGGCATGTGAATTTTCCACATACAATAACTCCCACGGTGCAAACTTTCGCATTCATCAACGGTTCTCAAGAATCTCCTTTTCCATTTGGAGTTCATATAATTAACAATATTCTTGCCATCCCTTTCACATAAAGACAGATAGAGAGAAGAAAATAAACTAATAAAACAAGGCAAATCTTCCCTGGGACAGACCATGCTGAATGGCAACAGACTGCTTTCTGTCTGTTGATTGAAGAACTAAAAAGAAAGGTTGGCACAGAACATCCCCAGACAGGACTTGGTTGGCTGGAAAATTGAACAAAGCACAGCAATGTTTTGTTATAGATCACACTATAACCTTGAATCAAACTGATCAAATAATGCCTTTGATTTCCTATGCTCCCATGGAGCTATATACTTGTATATGGATGGACATATCTGCTTCACCCTCTCCAAATGTTTGTTTTTCAAGCAAAGTTTGATATTCCCTGTTTCTGCACCAATTTTCATGCAATTCTATGTATGCTTCGCACAAGAAATGTATCCCACCAAACTGAAATCAGCTTACTCTAAAAAAAAAAATTATTCGGGATTGCAACTGCTGCTATGGTCCTTAATTAGGCAAAAGCTTGTCCCCTTATCTAGAAAACTAGAAGTCTGTTCCACTAAATTCAGTCCTACAGCTGGGTGCAAGATTAAATGCTTAGTTTGCTTAGGTAGCAATCTTATATATTTTTAACCTAGAATTTTTTTAAAAAAATTATCTTAGTCATTCTTATGTAATGAGAAATCTATCAGTTTTGTTTATTCTCATATTCGGTTTGTGGTTTTTGGAAAATTTAGATTTAAAAAAATTAACAAAATTCTCCCTTATCCTTAAATGGGTCCAAGTTCTGAAAAATCGCATGCAATCCTGGGAGCATTCATATCAAAATAAGCCATCCTGAATACTATGGATTTTAGCTTGTTGAGCTTTGGGTTTTTCACATGCTTATTTTTTGATCGTATCAGAAGCGAACTGAGGGTACAGTTGTACTGTATTTAAAAAACATAAAGTTTTAAAAAAAACCTGTCATTATACTAAATGTCTTTTGACTAGTAGCTGGGCATTTTAAGTGCGTCTGGTGTTGCTATTAGAAGGTCCTCCACTGTGCATGTGATAGGGCTCAGATTGCAATGTAGTAAGTGGTCTGTGGTTTGCTCTTCTCCACACTTGCATGTTGTGGACTCTGCTTTGGGACCCCATTTCTAAAGGTTGACTCTGCATCTCATGGTGCCAGAGCCCAATCTGTTTAGTGCCTTCTTCTGTGTGCCCAGGGGGAAGTTTCTCATCCAGTATCAGCCATGGATTGAAGTTCTGGGTTATAGCCTGCCACTTTTATACTCTCACTTGCTGATGTGTTCCTACAAGTATCTTAGAAAACATTTCTTGATTTAAGGCATTGGCGTGCTGGCCAATATCCAAACAGGGGGTTGGCCAGAGATGGCACTGCCTTGGACCTTTCATTATTGGCTGCTACTTCCCAGTGGATGTCAGTGGTGCAATACCAGCTAAATGGTATAATTTCTCCCGTGGTGTAGGATGCAGACATCCTGTGATAGTGTGGCACGTTTCATTAAGAGCTACATCCACTGTTTTAGCATGGTGAGATGTGTTCCACACTGGGCATGCATACTCAGCAGCATAGTAGCAAAGCTCAAGGGCGGAAGTCTTTACTGTATCACCAGAAGCTACCAGAAGTTACTTTCACAAGCTAGAATCCTCTGAACTTCTATTTAGGTGTGAATGATGTGGTTTATTAACAGGTAAACATACAAAGGTTCCACTTATTGGAAGAAAATTAAGCTATGAACCTTTGTTCACTTATCACCAAAAGGAAACTAAGAAATAAAAAATGAAACATCAAAGAAACCATTCTTATTATTCCCCTTTGCTTCTTACATGAAATGTGTTAGGAAATCCTGATAATATGAACAAGAGGACAATATCATATGAAGCTTCATTTCAAATACTTTGCTAGCATACATCATTTAAAGGATCTCACCTCTACTATCATGTTTTGATTTTGACTCAATAAAAAGAAAACCTTTTCTAATCAGAGTGCTTTGCCCCACAATCATCAAAAGAGCCTCTTTGCAATCAATTGAAGATGGAGAGAGAAAAAGAAAGAGAGAGGCAGAGGCAGAGGCAGAGAAAGATAGACCAAGAAGCACACTTTGCAGATAGCTAGCATGCATATTGCTTGAGTTTTGTCAAAATTAAGGAGGAAACACAGATGTAGTCCTGAACACACTGGTGCCCAGATTCCTTTGGGGAACACCCACAGGTATTTAGAGAGATTGCCACTAGATGTCCCCATTGCCTTGCAATGGGAATCCAAGCAGATGTTCGCCACCAGCCATAGATGTCTTTTTGTTATGAACAACTATGACATCATTATCATCATCATTATCATTATTATTATCATTATTATTATTTCCATACTATTTACAGTTACCACAATACAATAACAAGTCACAATCTAAATTTTTATATTAGCCCATCTCTCCTCCCTTTATAGATACTTTTTGGATACATAGATATACATGGATACCTTTTTTCAAGTCATTCTTTTTTTGTCCCTTTTGTTCCAACAGGTAAAAATGTTTCTGAATCCCTTTCAAGTGGGCCAATTTCTTTCCTGGTATTAGCAGTGACCCTTCAATGGTTCTCTTTCTCTTTGGGTCACAATAGTATTTCATGTCCTAGCAATACCAACCTTCAATATTGACTTGGTTCACAAGTCATGTGAGGATCCACTTTATGTAGAGTGTGAACCATCAAGCTTTTAGAGCCTGGGTTAGCTTCAAATCATCCAACATGGCAGTTTCTCAAGTTGCTCCTGACAGGAAAAAAAAATCTGAACATGGCAAGAACAGCATCCCAAGAGCCACTGGACAAGTTGGCACATTGGAAGTTGGAGATGGAGCTTTGATATTTGAGATCGCTGCTTTCCTCCTCCTTTTCCTATGACAAGATCTGTAATCCTCATCTCTGATGTTGAAGCATGGACAATTGGGGTCAGATTAAGGGCAGAATAGAAAAACCTATCCATCTGCAGACATCTGAGCACTTCAGTACACATTCTAAAAAGAGGGTACATGCAGGCCAATCATTTTTAATGGGGATGTTGCCCCTCCCTTACTTCTACTCTGT